CCCGCGGCGGACGCGCGCCCGGCGGCGGGAGGGACGGGGACGGATCTGGGAGCGGCGCCCGCTCCCCGCGCCTCCGCGCGGAGACCGGTTGCGGGACGCCCCGCGCCGGACCTCCCGCCCGCTCGCCCGGCGCGGCCGGCGAGGCCGAGGGCGGAGGCGCGGTGGGAGGCGGCGGCAGCGGCGGCGGAGGAGAGGACGCGGCGAGCGACGGCAGGCGGGGCGAAACGGCGGCGAGGCCCCGACGGAGGACGGGAGGCCGAGGCCGCGGACGCGCCGCACGAAGGGCGGACCGGCGGAGCGGGGCCGCCGGCGCCGCGGAAGGCGCGGGCGAGGACCGGCAGGGCTCGGCCGTCTCGCCGGCCGGCCGCGCGCGGCGGCGTGGCCGCGGAACGCGCCGCCGCGTGGCGCGGCGGGCGCCGGGCCGAGACGCGCGTCTCGGCCCGCTCCGAACGCGGGCGAGGCCGCCCGGAGCCCGGCCTCTCCGCCCGAGACCGAGGCCGCGGAGGGGGGGGACGGGATGACCCCCCCTCCGGCCCGGACCCGACCCGCGGAGGCGCGGGAGCGCGGCGGCGGAGGCCGACGCCGCCGTCGGGATCGGCGGGGAAGAGACGGAGCGGCGGCGGGGGACCGGGGCGCGCCGCCGCGCCCCGCAACGAGCGTCCCCCTTCCCTTCCCTCCGTGCCTTCCCGCCGTCCCGCCGGGCGGCGCGGCCGGACCGCCCCCGGCCACCCCCGGCCGCCCGCGGGCCGCGCCGCGGGCCGCCCGAGTCTTTAAACCCCCGCCCGGCTCCGCGGCCGAGGGAGGGGAGAGCGGGACCGCCCCGCGACTCCCTTTCCCCCGGACGCGCGGAGGCGCGGACGCTAGGTACCTGGCCCTGGGGTGAGGGAAACGACCCGAAGGCCCCGCGGTGGTGCCTCCCCCGCCCGCCCGGCCGGCCGCCCGGAGCGGCCTTCGGGCGGGGCGGAACGCCGAGGGGAGACCCGGCACCCGCCAGCCGGCCCCGGCGCCCCTCGGGGGAGCGTCCGCCCGCGGGGGCGCGCCCGTCGTCCGCCGCCACCACCTCGCCCTCCTCCCGGGGCCCGGGGTTTCCCTCTGTAACCCGGCGCCGGGCGGCAGCTGCGCCCGGGAGGAGACGCGCGGCTCGGACCGCCCCCGCCCGCGCGGGGACCGAAGCCGCCCGGAGAGCCTCGCGCGCAGACCGCGCGCGCGCGCGCGCGTCGCGCCCCCCCCATCGCCGGCGCTCGCCGGGAGCCGGCCCGGCTCCGCGGACGCCCGCGGACCCGACCCCGCCCCGAGCCGCGAGGATGCGGCCGAAGGGCGAGGGGGGGCACGGGGGGAGAGGGGCCGGCGGAAGCGGCCGGCTTCCCGCGCCCCGCGCCCGAGCCTTCGGCCCGCGGCCTCCCGCGCTCGCGGCCGTCCGCGCGGCTTCCCTCCGAGCGGACCCGGGGGCAAGCCGGCGGAGGCGGCCGCGGCGAGGGCCGGCGGCGGGCTTCCGGCCGAGCGACGGGAACGGGGGCACCGTCCTTCCGCCTCCCCGCACGCCTCGGCGCCGACCCGGCCCGACCCCGACCCCGCGGTCGGAGCGCGACTCGGGCGCGGGACGGCCCGGAGCGCGGCGGCTCTGGCGAGGCCCGCGGGAGGCGCGCGCCCGCGCCACGCGCCACGCGCGGCGGCGAGGCCGCCGGGCGGACCGGACCCGCGGACCGGCGGGCGGACCGGCGGCGGACCGGCGCGGCGGGGGAGCGGGACGAGGCGCGGCGCCGCGCCGCGCCCCGCGCGCCGCCCCCCCGCGCCGCGCTCCGCGCCCTTCTCCCTTTCTCCCTCTCTCTCGCCGACCGAGAGAGGCGCGCGGAGCGACTTGGGTTTTTTGGTGCCCTTTTCGGCTCGGTGAGCCGCGCTCCGCGCGGAGCGGGCTCGGGAAAGGCTCGAGGCGAGCGAGCGAGCCGGTCGGAACGGGGTAGACGGTGCCGCCGCTGCCCAGCCGAAACGGCAGCGAGCACGGAGCCGCAGAGCGGGAGTACGCCCGGAACGGGCCGGGTCCGCCCGGCACCGACCGACCGACTCGGTCGCTCCGAGGCGGCGGCGGCGGCGGCTAGGGTACGACGGAAGGGCGGCCCGGCCCAGGCGAGCGCCGACCCGCCCGGTCGCTCCGCGGCTGCGGCCGGACTGCCCGCCGTCTGCTCGACTCCGAGCGGCTCTCTCTCTCTCTCTCTCCTTTTTTTTTTTTTTTCCTTTTTTTGAATTCCCTCTCTCTTTTCATTTTTCCTGCTCCTTTGTCCGTTTCATCACGATAGGTTTCCACCTACCCGTCCGCTCGCTCGCTCGCTTGCTGGCGCGGGTGGTCGCCACGCGGTGGCGGGCAGAGCTGGCGGCTGCCCGTCCGAGACAACCCCCCCCACCCGCGGCCCCTGTTCCTACCTTCCCCCCCCTTCCCCACCGAGCACGCGTGATTTCGTCTCGATTAATTTTTTTTTTCCCTAGTTTTTTCAACGTTAGTCTTTCTCCTTCTTTTCCTTCTTTTTTCCCTGCTCCCTGCTTTTTCATTTTCGGTTTTTTAAGAACTTCTTCATTTTTATACGTTTTTCTAACGCGCTTTCGAGTGTTTTTCCGTTTCTTCGCTTATTTATTTCCTTCGTTCATCTGCCTGCTGCACCCGACATATTTTTCCCGTTTTTTTCCACCCTGCTCACACCCCTCTCACTGTACCGCGCCTACCGCGGCCAGACGCCCTTCGCAGCCGGCTCGGTCAGCCGCGCCTGCCGCTGAGACGCGGAGCTGGAGTACGCCCGGAACGGGCCGGGTCCGCCCGGCACCGACCGACTCGGTCACTCCGAATCGGCGGCGGCGGCGGCGGCTCGGGTACGACGGAAGGGCGGCCCGGCCCCGGCGAGCGCCGATCCGCCCGGATGCTCAGCGGCTGCGGCCGGACTGCGCGCCGTCTGCCCGACTCCGAGCGGCTCGGCCGGTCCGCGGCGCCGTGGAGAGGCGGCTGCTGGGCAGTGCGGCTCGGCACGGCACCGCACGGCGCGCCGGCAACGTCTACCCTGCTCCGAGCGGCTCGGGCCGTAGGCGGAAGCGCCCAGATGTCGCAATTGTTGGGTTATTCCAAGATGCTGAGGAACTACTTGGTCTGTCAAGGACAGTGCATCGTTAAAAGTGAAACTCATAAAGAAAAGATTAATTGGTTACTAATTTGCTTTATTTCAGGGCTGTATCTGTGGCAAGTTGATGTTATATGCTGTTACATTTTGTATTTTGTTTATAATAGTACTATGTTCTGTGTTATATTTATTTGTTATTGTTAAATGTGTGATTGTCACTCTTCTCCCTTCTCTTTATATCAACCTTACATGTCTATACTTAACAATGGCCTCTATTAAGAAAGTAATAACGCTCTCATTAGTGGGCATGAATATCATAGTGGAAGTAATATAATGAGTAGGTGTCATTCGGATAAAGGTTTCTGGTGGCTGGGCGGAGATGGGAGAGCTCAAACTCCCACCAGGCATAGTGAGAACTATTTGGAGCCAGTATCAAAGTCCAAGAAGGATTAAAAGGGTAAATAACCCATTGGTAAGGTATAATACAGGATACTTTGAGAGCTCTTATCCCGGTCTTAGGAGTAGCTCAGCTGGTTTGGATTAAACAGTACCCCCCAAATCTGAAGACATGGATGACCTGAAAGCTACCAAAACAATGGAGGTAATGCATAACATGGACAATTAGCTTACTAAACTTTCTCCACAGAAAGCCCAAATGTCACAGTCGCAAGTTACCCATTTGCGTTACAGAATCACTTTGGGATTCCTGAGCCCCAGGAAACGGCAAGGGGACTCTGGAAGGAGCTCCAGACTTTCCTAGGGATGACGAAGTGGTGCAGCCTACAGCTATGGAATACTGGTAAAGCCCCTCTACGCCCTTTTGAAATCCTGCCCAAAGGTCCTCATAGAGGTTGAGGAAGAGAAATAAGAGGAAGGTTTAACTGCGGCAATTAGACACGGACTCAGTTGTTAGTGCAGAACAAAAACTTTTATTGTGGGCGATGAACTTGAACAACGAGCACTTGGTTAAGCGCCTTATTAAATGTAACTCTGTCATGCTGGGCAGTTCTTCCCTCCAGCCCTGACGTAGATGGCACTGGATCTGAACTTGTCCCTCTGGTGCCGTCCTGCGGCACCGCATCTGTGTTGATGTGAGTGCTGGACCGATGCACCGGATCAGTCAGCCTTATCTCAAGTCCGTGGGACCTCAGCGGCGTCTCCCAATAGTAGGTGATGAGGTCATACAGGCTGTCAAATACTTGGGTGTCAGTCACAAAAAACTTCTGACTGGTAGCGTCCTGTCGCCAATGTATGCGGCAATGCTGCACCTTCCCACGTGCCAGAAGGACAGAACGTAGTCCCTAGCATAAGTCTCACTTTCCCTGACCAGGAAGGAGCCATCAGGGGCCTCCATCTTAGCACAGTACTCTGTCATCAGCCACTCAGCGATGTGCTGCCCACCGTGCCCTGCCCCCAGCTTGCCGTGGAACCATTCCTGCGCGAGATGGAGCTCGACGTTGGCGCTCACCTCCTTCTGCGCAGGTCGTCTCCTCTGTCTGCTCTCATTCAGGGGAATGTAAAGCGGGTTCCGTGTACAGTTGAGGGGTTCTTCTGTCATTTGGCAATCCGCTGCCTGCTCCTTTGTCATACATGCACACATGGCTCCTTGCCACTCACCTCCACAAAGCCACCTCAGTGTTGGCGGGGCTTGTCAATGGTCTTTATATGGGCTTATATGGGCTTTATATGGGCTTGTCAATGGTCTTTATATGGGCTTATATGGGCTTTATATGGCTTTATATGGGCTTTATATGGCTTTATATGGGCTTGTCAATGGTTTTTGCTGACACCCATGCCAGGTGTACAAGCTAGATGTCTCGTGACCATGTCAAGAGGGTCTGTCTGGCATGGATAGTTACGATCTTTAACTTGTTTATACCTCCAAAGATATTTTGCCAGTCCAAGCAAGAATATCTTTATTTTCTCCCAATAGCATACAGGTTACAGGAATTGAGGTAAGGGATCTGGACTAACTAAACGAAGAGGCACGGTTGTGAGGATCTTAGTAGGATGTGTTGCTTTAATCTTTCGGACCACTCAAAATCAATAAATAGGAAGCTCATGGCAAAATAGAGATTAACCCAGTTATGGAGGGACTAAAGGGGATATAGGAAACACTTACTAGTCGGCTACCTAACTTCCCCTTGGCTCACCAGCAACCTCTCCCCTGTGAACCAAAATACAACCCAGAGCGTCTTTTTGGTATCTCTTTAGACACTCCTTGTCCAATCACAGCTTTTTAGGTAACATTTTAGGCCAGGCTGGATTGGCTCTGGGCAGCCTGGTCTGCTGGTTGGCAACCCTGCACACAGCAGGGGGGTTGCAATTAGATGATCCTTACAGTCCTTTTCAATCCAGGCCATTCTACGATTCTGTGACCACATCATGTTTACAGTGAGTGCTCCCTGCTGGCTGTACCTCATTAAACCAGTTCCACCTGTCCGAGCAAGGAGTATGTGCTTCAAGGTGTTTTTAAGATGAGTTAGCTGTGAAGCTCTTCCTCTGCTCAAGGGATTTGTAAGGCTCATAACCACACAAAGCTACAGGTGGCTGATCAGGCTGGGGTCTGGCTGAAGCTCCTCCCGCATTCGTGGCACTGCAAACTTAGCCTCTTGTGAGGATGTGTAGGTATGTAACGAGGCAGGAACTGCTGCTGAAGATACTCCCAAACTCGGGGCATTTCTACATTCTGTCTCCTTGGTGGATGTGCTTGTGGGAGTTGAGATTAGAACTGCTTATAAAGCCCTTCCCCACACGCAGGGCATTTAAAGGGTCTTACTCCTGTTTGGATGCACTGGTAACAAATGAGCTTGTAACTGCTGTGGAAGTTCTTCCCACGCTGAGCACTTGTAGGGTCTCTCTCCTTTATGGATGTGCTGGTGCATCTTCGCTTCTAACATGCCTGTCCTTGACACAAATGGGACACTTGCAGGCTCTGTGTCCTGAATGCATGTTCTGGTGGGAATCAAATTGGGAACATCAATGGCAGCTGTTCCCACATACAGAGCACTTGTATGTTTTACATCCTGCATGGATGCACTGGTGGCACTTCAATTCAGAATTGCTTTAGGAGCAATTTGGACACTCAGGACAATTAAAGGGCCTCTCTTCTGTGTGGACACACTCCAGGTGGCGGGTGAGGTTGGAGCTGCTTTTAAAGCTCTTCCCACAGTCGGTGCACTTATATGGCCTCTCTCCTGTGTGGATGCGCTGGTGGCGGGTGAGGTTGGAACTGCTTCTAAAGCCCTTCCCGCAGTCAGTGCACTTATATGGCCTCTCTCCTGTGTGGATGCGCTGGTGGCCTATGAGGTAGGAGCTGCTTCTGAAGCTCTTTGGACACTCAGTACACTTAAAGGGTCTCTCTCCATTGTGGATGCGCTGGTGGACAATGAGGTCGAAACTGCTTCTGAAGCCCTTCCCACAGTCAGTGCACTTATATCGCCTCTCTCCTTTGTGGATGCGCTGGGGGCCAATGAGGTAGGAACTGCTTCTGAAGCCCTTTGGACACTCTGGACACTTAAAGGGTCTCTCTCTCTTGTGGATGTGCTGGTGATTCTGTTCCGAACTGCTTTTGAAACCCTTTCCACATGTGGAACACTTGTAGGTTCTGTCACCTGAATGGATGCGTTGGTGGGAAACAAGGTGGGAACTTTGTTTGTAGCTTTTCCCACATCTATGGCACTTGTAAGGTCTGTGTCCTGTGTGGATGCACTGGTGCCACTTCAATTCAGAGTTGCTTTTGACGCTCTTTGGACGCTCAGAACGCCTAAGGGGTTTCTCTCCTGTGTGGAGGAACTGATGATTAGTGAATTTGGATCTTGTTTTGAAGCTCTTCACACACCCAGAGCTCTTGCACAATCTCTTCACCGAGCGGACACAATGGTGGTTAACAAGGTCGGAATTCCTTTTAAAGCTGGTCCCACATTCAGCATTCGGGTGCTGCCTTTCCTCCTGGCACACTTCCTTGCTCCTTGCATCTTCCATCTGCTGCTTCTGATCTGTGCTGCACTCCAGGGGTTTCCTCACAATCTCTCCTGGAGGGTTTCCCTGCTGCTTCTCGAAGTGCTCTCCTTGCTCCAGGCCCCCTTGCACATCCCTTCCGATTTTTCCCAACGAGGCACTACTCCACTGCCTTTCAGCCACACCACTTCTCTGCAGATACTCCTTTATGTTTGTGATCCCATCATCTGTTGGATGACAGGAGATACAGAAATAATATATTGTGCTAAAATACTGCCCAGTCAGAAATGGCTTTTGCCAGCCCCAACCTCCTCCTCTCTCTCACTGGCTCACCTGGGCTGAGGTCTTCTGCCATGTCCTTCAAGCCATGTACATCTGGGATCCAGGGGTCTTCCCCTCCTTCCAGCATGGAGATCAATGCAGGTTTCGGGGCTGGACATGTCGATTGAATAACAGAAACAGTGGACATTAGAGCATTTTCGTGATTCTGATGAATGAACATGTCCAACAACTATACTGTGTGTCCATCCCAACTTCTGAAACCACATTAAGGGCCTGAATGACACTGGGCCCACACTCACTGGCTTTCTTCTGGTCCCAGCATGAATTTCACATCTCAGAAATTATGCAGAGAGAATTTCTCTAACATTACCCTTGGGCTTTTTGTCCAGTTTCATACAAACTGCTAAAGACCTAAGGCATCAAAAAGGTTTACAGGAACACAGTGGAAAAGAGTAAAAAGGTAAATGAATAACCAGGGAGTTGTCAGGTTGGTGGAGCTGGTACCACCATGCACTGCAGCAACACAGGGGCAGTCTGCAGGAGCTGATCCAACCCCTCCCAGCTGATGGCTGCTTGCCAGCAGTGGCTTCTGTGTCTTTTCTCACAGTGCTGAGCACACCGATCCCTTCTGAAACATATGAGAAACTTACCTACATTTTGTTTCTGGTGCTGCCGCGTTACTCCACAAGTAACTACATTGCAATTATTCTAAGCCCTGCTTGCAGTGTCGTTCTACACAGCCAAAGGAGCTCTAACAAGGACGAAAGGCAGCAAAGCCCTCACCCAGCGAGGCCACGCACGCGTACGTCTCCAGCATCACGTCCCGGTACAGCGCTCGCTGCGCAGGGTCCAGCAGCGCCCACTCCTCCCTGCTGAAATACACGGCCACCTCTGCAAAGGTCACGGGCTCCTGCAAGCAAAGAGGCTCCTTGCTGGGAACTGCCACGGCCCAGGGAAGCAGCTGGCAGAGAAGAGAAACTCCAGTCCCAGCGGCTTCTCTGCCCCCAGCACGCAAAAGCTGATGGAGGGCATCCCACTCTCCCCCTGCATTGACACTGCTTGTTCCTTAGCCTCTCCTGCCTGTTTCCCCACACTCCTACCTGAGATGGATCCACTGCAGCCATTTTCTGCACTACTGCAGGCTGGGATGATCACAGGTGAAAAGCAGACGTTAGAAAAGCCTGCTGGGATAAGAAAATTAGCAGGGGAGGTTTGAGGGAGTGCAGCAGTTCCTCTTGAAGCCCAGCCCTCCCCAGCCCATCTACAGGGCATTGCCTGGGAATAAAAGCCACCTAGGACTCAGACAAGCAACAATGCACCCGTTCCAATCTTGTCAAGTCGCTGTGAAACCACCCACAGCATATCTACCTTATATTATTCAACATATTCCTGCTTCTCCCTTGAAAGTTTATTTTGTAGTTGGAACCAACGATTATAAATTGGCAAAATCTGCACTATAGCAACTAGGGACACTAACTGATTAGAAAATGACAGACTGAACTCCCAAATCCTTACATGAATCATCTCCTGACAGCTATTACAACTGAGAAATAAGAGATTAGGGGCTGTAAGACAACAAAAGCGGATGAAACTTCAACTGTGTCAGTCTGTAGAAAAGATAACAGTGAGGAAGAATATTTCAGCCCTTCCATAGCTAGCACCAGCAACAAAAGGAAAACACGCTCCCACTCCCTCCAGCCCTCAGACAGACGGTAAGGCCTGAAGGAAGAACAAAGGCCTGTCAAAAGAAAGATAGTATCAGTAAGTTAATAATGATTACCCACATAAACACACTGCAGTGGAAATGCTAAGACGTGGCCTGAAACAGTGATTGAACACCTGGTGGGAAGGCAGGACAAACCCAGAGGAGGTCAGGTGCAAGCAATGAACTTCATGACTAGAAGGTGTGGAGCCAGGATCCACCTCTTCTGAGGCCTCATTTAAGGGTTGGCAGTGGAAGTGAGGGTGTTTTTTGTTGGAGATTCCTGCATATCAGGGGCCTTTCAGGGGTAAGCAGCTCTTTTCCTTTCTTGTGTATCTTTGGCTGGTGCATTTGGGCTTGTTTTCATTTGCTGTAACTAAAGACTTTGCCACCCTATTATCATCCTCTGATTTTAGCATTAACTATACCAGCTTCATTTGGCCTTTAAGGACTGTTGACAATGTCTTCTCAGTAAGTAAGGGGGCACAAACCTAAATGTGAACTAAACTGGGATCTGGAAAGCTGAACGTGCAACTCATGCATCAAGCAACAAAGCATTAAGATCACCAACAGAAACTGAACAAAATGCTGTGCTCCAAATTGCCAAAGCCAGTTCCTATTTCTCTGATAAAGAATGCATGTCAGTCACTTGCTCTGCAGTCAGCACACAGGGGTCCTGGCGTTTGAAACAGGTGACTTTGGCGCCTGCTCCTTCAGTTCAGTTGTTAATCCCAGCCCCTGCAGAAACAAGGAGGCTGCAATACATGCATTTTGCTGAGTTCTGAGAAGGAATCTATGCTGATTCTGTGATCTGGAGATCAGTCTACAATTCTAGATTGTCGTTTGTTCACACACCTGTGTATGGAAGCCACTGCTCACAGCTCACTCTACTTCCTTCCCCTTCTTGGCATCACCTGGCTCTAGAAACACCCATTTGGGATCAGCCTCCTATTATCAGAGAGCAGCATTTTATGCCTTCATTCCCCAGTTGTATTGTAACCAGGAGTTTGGCTGATGTCTCACCTCTTGGTCTCCTTCATTCTATATTTATTGCAATTGTATCTATGCCCTTTGAGTGATCTAGCTCTGATCTGGATTCTCTGCTGCTACTTTTCTTCTGTTGCCAATCTCTAACATTGTCTACGTTGATCAGGTTTCAGAACTGAGATCTCTGCCCTTATATTCTCCCTTCTTGGTTCCAGCATTTCTTTTATACCTCTGTGTGGGAATCAAATGTTGCTTCTGCATTAGAATTAGGTAAGAATCTTTAATGTCATGGTCTCTGCTGCCATAGTTCTTTTTGGGAGTCTTTCTACTATACTTGGGGGTGGTCTCTGATAGTTGGCATCTGTTATCCTCTAGACAAATCTTCCCCTGGAATGCGTGCTCAGTATATAGGTGTGTATATATGTATATCTTGTCATACACGTTACAAGAATGTTCTGCATGAGATTAATCAAACCAGACAACAAATCATGGCCTGCCCAAGAAGAAGAGATATCAATAAGGCCTAGCATCCCCCCCTCCCCTGCACCCCAAAATCACCGTATCAATACAAGAAGAGCACTGAGGCATCTTGGAAACAACAGGATGGCTACTGACACCAGATAACACACGAATTAACAAATGTAAACCTTGAGTACCCAGCCAATGGGGAAACAGGAGAGGGGGCAAAGGGGGAAACAAGGTGCAAAAAGCTGTCATTGTGCCTTGAGGGGATGAAGGGGGAAACAAGGTGCAAAAAGTGCCTTTAGAGGTGTTCCTGCTTGCGGGATGCCTGCCATTGCAACTGCAAATAAAATCTGCTTTTATCAGAGATGCCATCCTGACAAAATTATTTTGATATTTCCAACCATCTGTATCCCTGTCGTTCCCTGAGCTATGGTCGATGCCAATACTTTCTCTATCCTTTTTTTCTTTCCTTTGCTTTCCCAGTTTCCTACGTTTCCTCCTCTCCATTCCTTGGTCTATGCCTTTTCCAAGACTTTCTTTTTTTCCTTCCCCTTCCCCCCCCTTCCCACAACAAACTTTGATCATTACAAACCGCCTCAGCTCCCTTTGACCTTCCCAGCACCTCTCCTGCCTATCAAAGACCCATTTTAAATTTTATTTTTCCCTCCAATTTATCCAACCAATCTCGACCAGTTAAGGGCTTCGGTGCCCCTGGTAAATATAAAAACCAATAGTGTCTACCAAATTTGTCTCATCTCCAGCGCCGGAAGTTCCACAGCTAATAATGGGATATCGGGTTTCCTAGGCCTCTGCAGATGAGGAGGTTCTCGCTCCCAATGTATTCATCCCCATCCCCCAAGGAACAAACCGTTTTACAATAGGGGTTTGCAGTGTCTCTGCCCCAGGCTGCTTGAGCGAAATTCCAGCCTCGTGGGGGGAGGTGGCACGGCAGTTTCTTGTTCCAGTGCTCATCAATCTTGGCCGGTGCAAACTGCAACTGGTCACAACAGTCAAAATGCACTTTAATCTGAATACATTTTATGCAGGACAATTGTCCCTCCTCATCTTGCTAGATGATGGAGAGCGTTCTCTCAAAGCATGGTTGTGCACCGTGGGAGATTCCTCCAGGGAGATCCATAACCAATATCCCCCAGCAAGATGGGAATTCCCTTTGTTTTCCCACACACCCCAGTGTCCATAAGTAACGTTGATCACTTCTCCAATCCACCAATTATTACTATTTTCAACAGGTTTTCTCTGCCGTTTCCACAACCAGTTTCTCCATGTCTGGAATGTGCGAATTCCAGACACGCACTGCAATACACACATGCACACGCTGCTGCAAATACAAAAGTAAAAAGCGAAGCTTAACACAGCCTGCATATCCACCGCATACACACACCATGGAGGGAGAAAAAAAATAAAAGGCTTGGTGCTGTTGCAGTAATGCATTCCCAAGTTCGCATACAAAATCACAATGCCGGCAATCATAGCACAGCGTAATTCCCCCAAAATGAAGCGCTTCGGTTTCTGCTGGGGGTCTTGAATCTCTCAAGTACTCCCTCACCATGTTACTTTCAGTAAGACGTGGAGCCCGAGGGGTCTTGAATCTCGTAAGTACACCCTCTAACAGGACTCGAATCCGTTTTCTCTCAAGCACTGTTACTTCCGAGAAACACGAAACCTGCCGCACGCTCAGGACATCTCCCTGCTCACGTACCTACTGGGGAATTCCCTTACTTTTGCTCTCTGAATGTGAATCAGACTTCCTCACGCTTTACCAGAGGCAATCAAAGGAATGCCTTACCGTACTTCAGGAAACCTGCGGCCAGATCGGGGCAGAGCTCCCTGAGAATCACTCGGTGGGCACGCTGAGATCTCCGGTCCTTCAGTCCGCAAGATTTCAGTCTCGGTGTCCTACCAGAGTCGTCAAAAATTGTCATCCAAAATCTGAGAAGAAAACTCTCTAACTCCAAGGTGGTGCTGGAAAGTGGCAATCCGCGATTCTCCGCATGACTTGATAAGCAGGCTCACCCTCTCAAAGTTCCGGTTGGACATTTGAACAATGAAGACATGCATATGCAGTACGTTGGCATACATATGCATTCTTTTGCAAGGTCTGACAGATAAGAACAAATGTCCTTTGGGCATGCTCAGTGGTATTAAAGGTGGTGGAGTGCCCAGCTACTTCTCGTTTTTTCACCATCAGCTTCATCACTAAAACCTTTGACTCACTTTCATTCACTTTTCCCCAGTTTGGAAGATTCCCACTGGTTTTTAGGCCATAGTGAGACACTTTTTAAAAACAACGTATGTGGAACCCAAGGAAAATGTCCATGATGTTTTGAGTCAAAAGACAAATTTTTCCATTGTGACTCAAGTACTTCTTGTGAGGCAAAATCACTGAGGCAGAAGATAAAAGTATTCAATTATGTTCCCAGTGATTGAGGAAAAACAAGACTCTTCACCCACTGAATGTGAAATGGAAATATTTAAAACAACCACTTATAGATTCCTTTTGCTAAACTAACGTACTGGTTCCTAAACTAATGTACTAATCCCAGTGCTAAACAAATCAACCCATATCAGCAGCATATGTAAAGCTTCTTGCCATGTGGAATCATTGGTTCAGGTACAGGGATGTCTTCTCCCCTGTAGACATTCCGGTGCCTCATGAGTTCAAAGCTGTACCCAAAGATTTTCTCTTAGACAGATCAAGCACAAATATGTTTCTGATCCACCCTGCCATCTTTCTATGCCTACTCAATATTCCATCTCCAGCTGACAGAGAGCAATACGCATAATTCCCATGACAGTGACGAAGGGGGAACAGGATATCCTTTGGTCACAAACATGACCTAAGGCCAAGAAGGGAGCTACAGACCATCCAAAGCATGGGAAAACTCCCAGATAATCTGGACAAAACAGGAGTTGGCTCATCAAAATGAGCCCAAGAGAAAATGTAAGCACCTCCTCTGAGCACTGGAGTGGCAATCGTGAGCCTCAAGCACGACACACGCACCACTGCCTGCTGTGCTCACAGCAAATCTGAAGGGATGTCCATGCAAGCTTCCTGGTGTACTTTCACCTTTGTAAATCACTAACTACACACCCAGTTCAAACCAGTTAGGTTTGTGCTCTTTGTTGAAGGAAGTCCATGCACCTGGGCTCCCTCCATTCTGATGGGGGTCTGTCTTTCACGAGGAATGTCTGTCCTAGCAACACTACTGTATGAGAATCGCATTTCAGTGGAACGGAAAGAAGAGGATGCCCATTGGACACGAGATGGCAGCACGAGCCCTAAACCTCCAAGGATGGCACCAGGCTGGGGAGGGACAGCTGCACTTTGCTTCCCCCAGTCCCTCCTCCATCCGTCTGGGGGATGTCCTGAGCTGTGCACCTCCAGGGACAGCCCTCGTGCCACGGAAGCACAAGCTCCTTCCGTTCTGCAAAACACAGCACCTCGCAGCCTTGCTGGAGCATGAGATGCAGGTGGGACAGATGCTAAAACCTCCTGAAATTCCATACTCTTTTCCCTTAAAAGATTTCACGATGCGCTTCCAGGGCCCGGCAAACAGAAGAGGACACCTAGCGGATGCGGAGCGATGGCACAGCCTTCACAAACTGGTCAGTCTGTCCGTCCATCTGTCTGGGCTGGGATTTCCCACAGGCCCTCTTCGGGACGGGGGCCTTCTCCTGGTGCCACAGCCATGGTTTTCCATGGGCTGCTCAGCTCAGGCCGGGGGCTGCACCCTGAGCCCTTCCACCCTGCCCCAGGAGAGGCAGCCCCAGCTTTTCTCAGCGCATCGGGGCACCTTTCCCATTCTCCTCCCTCTCGAGCGAAGGTTCCAGCTGCAAGGTGGAGGCCGATGTGCACACATGAACAGGGACAGGATCAGCTCGTCCCTGTGCCACCTACACTAACGCTGGGTCTGCAGCAGGGCTGATCACTATGTCCTCTGGAAGCAAAAGGAGCACCCAGAATGAGAGAACCCAATCACCGCCAACCTCGTGCCAGTGCTGCTGTGGGCAGAACCTCTCCGCTGCCACTTCCCAGCAGTGCTGTACTGCTGTCTGCACAAAACCAGGTGGCTGCTCCTCATCGTCTTTCTGAGAAACGTCTTTGTATGCACCGTGCCCTCAAAGAGCCACAGAATTGCAGTGTGGTGCTCCCTGCTCACTGTCTGGTGTCACTTCTGGATGCACCCACAGGTGGGGTTGGTGTCCCTCTCCTGGTTCTCTGTATACATCTCTGACATCGCTTTTGGCACATGACAGCCGCATCACTGCGAGCCTCTCTGTTTCTGGGACAGGGCAGTATGTAGGAATGGGTGCAAGAAGTAAAACAGATCCTCACAAGGAGTCAAAGTTCAAAACAAAAAGGAGAGAAGCAGGAAGATTGTAAATGGGATTGCTTAGATAACTTTCCTTCCAAACCCCCCCCCCCTCTGCAGAGGTGGGGAGCGGTCGTGCTGCTGATCCCGTGCAGGGTCCCAGAAAGAGCACACATTCTCAATTACGTTGGGAATTGGAACAGTGTAAACAGGATGTTAATGCCCTCCCCCCTTTTCACTAGCAGAAAGGTGAGAAATTTCAAGAAGGACATAAATTAATGTAAATTTAACTTAAATAACCTTAACTGAGAATCTTGTTAGGGCAGTAGAGCAATTAGATCCATTTCTAGGGCCTAATCTGTACTCGTGGATGGAAGTGATGTCTATCATGGGTATGTGTTCACTGGAGAAGAAAGAGGCACGACTGGGAGGCAGCTATGCAAGAGTGGGAAAGGAACGCGGAGTGAAGGCTGGGCCCTGGATGGAGGAGGAAAGAGGAAGGATGTCGAGGACAAACTGCACAGGCTGTTGTCACTTTCTTTGTGATTGTTAAATGTTTATCGCAGAACCGTAGAATGGCCTGGGTTGAAAAGAACCATAATGATCATCTAGTTTCCACCACCCTGCTGTGTGCAGGGTTGCCCAGAGCCTCAAATATTACCTAAGAAGCTGTGATTGGACAAGGAGTGTCTAAAGAGATACCAAAAAGACCCTCTGGGTTCTATTTTGGTTCACAGGGGAGAGGTTGCTGGTGAGCCAGGGGCAATACTGAGTAAGAAACCAGGAACATAAATGAAGTAATGGGACCAGTTCTATATTTGAGCATCCCAACCATGAGACCAAGTGCTGGGTGTGTCTGGAAACTGAAGAACTGTATTGTTTCATTTGTGAGTTTTGAAGGGAGTGGGACAAAACTCTTTTAATGCCATATGGAAGTATAATTGTTAATGGTATACGGAAGTGAAACTGTTAATGCCATGTGGAAGTGCAGTTGTTAATGGTACACGGAACTGTAATTGAGGATAAGAATAGTGGAAAGGCAGTGGAAAATATGGGCAAAAGGGTTAAGGAAAACCAGTGAGTGTGAGGTGTCACAGCTCGTGATCTGCTCTAGCCAAAGCAGGCACATGAACACATCCCCCGCAGTCATCCCACTGCCCTCCTGTCCCCCACCCAGCTGCAGCTTGTAAGCAGAACTCTGAGGGTGAGAGCTGGAAGCAGAAACTCTGGACATAAACTGTTACTGTTACTTGCTTACGAACGGGGAGAGAAGGAGACATTGGAAGCAAGCAAAGCCTTTGTCTGCAGAGATCTAGGAAACCTGATATCCCAATGGTAGCACTGGAAGCCTGGGGGAGGAGGTGAAACTGAAATACGTTAGGAGCTTCTGTAATGATGACAGTTTGGAAAAGGAAAAGGTTTGGGAAAGACACAGGTTGAGGAAGGCAAATATGAACAAGGTTTCACTGAGGCAATTTGGTACGGACTCCGCTGTTAGTGCAGAGTGAAGACGTTTATTGCACGTGATGAATTCGAATCGCATGCATTTCACCTTATTAAACCTGAGTCTCCTGCCGCAATCAGCACTAATTGACCTTCCATTCTGCCCTGAAGGAGATGCTGTTGGAGCTGGGCTTGTCCCTTTCGTGCCGTCTGCTGACACCCGCATCAGCACGTACTCAGCTTGAGTGCTGGTGAAGTTGGTGTGGTACCACTCTTTGCTCTCACGGGTGCCGGCCCCTGGCACCAGCTCTGCCAGCCTCATCTCAAACTTATTGTACCTCAGCAGCATCTCCTGCTAGTGGGTGATGAGATCACAGAGGCTGTCAAACTCCAGGCTGTGAGTTAGGAAGAACTTGGGGCTGCCGGCATCCTGCTGCCAATGGATGCTGCACCGGAAGGACACAACCCTGTCCCCAGGGAATGTCTCGCTCTCCCTGATGAGGAAGGAGCCGTCAGGGCCCCCCCTCTTGCTGCAGTACTCCAACAACAGCCACACAGCAATGTGCCGCCCTCTGCGCCCTGCCCCCAGCTCGCCACGGAACCATTTCTCCGTGGAATGCAGCTCAGCGTTGCTCAGCTTCCGCGCTGGTTGTCTCCCCTGCTTGTTTCTGGCTGGGACAACATAAAGCAGGTTCCATTTGTAACAGATGGGGTCTCGCATCATTTGGCAACCTGCCTTCTGCTCCTTTGCCAGACGTGACTCCATGGTTCCTTGCCACTCGCCTCTCTCAGGAGTCTTAGGTTTGGAGGGGCTCATTATCAGTCAGCTCGACCTTCATAGCATCTGCTCACGCCTGTGCCAGGTGCACAGCTGGACGTCTGGTGAGCACGTCAAGAGGCCCTGGCACAAATAATTCCAGTCTTTCCGTCTTTTGCTCCCAAGGTCTTTTGCTAATCGGGGCAAGAATGTATTTTCTCCCAGTGATACACAGCTTCAAGGGAGCAGAAGTAAGAGACTTGGATGAATTAACTGAGGGGATTGGAGAGTATACAGAAACAGGGATTGTAATGAAATAAAGACGCTGGGAAGAACAGTAGCAGCTGCACCACAGCAGCGCCTGGAAGGGCCCAGGGAGAGTTCTGCCCCATCCAGTGGACTGAAAACAGCGTGCAGACACCAGGGAAATGGGGCACAGATGAAGAAGGTGCACCAAGCTGAGGGGATCGCAAAAGCTGAATGCCAGAACCTGGAAAGTCTCACCATAGCAGACCCACTACTAGGGTTACACGGATTAAATTGCAGCGAGGGAAGCAGCTTAAACAGGTTTATTTTCTGGTGGGCTAAGAGTAAAGCAAGACCAACAGATTGAAAATTTTAACGTCTGGCTTCAACACAAACCAGGAAAAACAATGCTGTACCCCTGGAAGTGACAGCAATCTCGAATCAGGCATACCCAGGAGTGTGGGCATCATGGATGCTGAGCAGAGCCCAAAGATTTTCTCCTAGACAGATCAAGCAGAAATATGTTTCTGATCCACCCTGCCATCTTTCTATGTCTACTCGATATTCCATCTCCAGCTGACAGAGAGCAATACGCATAATTCCCATGACAGTGACGAAGGGGGAACAGGATATCCTTTGGTCACAAACATCAAGAATGGACCTAAGGCCAAGAAGGGAGCTACAGACCATCCAAAGCATGGGAAAACTCCCAGATAATCTGGACAAAACAGGAGTTGGCTCATCAAAATGAGCCCAAGAGAAAATGTAAGCACCTCCTCTGAGCACTGGAGTGGCAATCGTGAGCCTCAAGCACGACGCGCACCACTGCCTGCTGTGCTCACAGCAAATCTGAAGGGATGTCCATTGAAGCTTCCTGGTGTACTTTTCACCTTTGTAAATCACTAACTACACACCCAGTTCAAACCAGTTAGGTTTGTGCTCTTTGTTGAAGGAAGTCCATGCACCTGGGCTCCCTCCATTCTGAAGGGGGGCTGTCTTTCACGAGGAATGTCTGTCCTAGCAACACTGCTGTATGAGAATCGCATTTCAGTGGAACGGAAAGAAGAGG